CCCCAAAACCCCAAAACCCCAAAACCCCAAAACCCCAAGACGAGATAAATAAATTGAAGATTTAAGAATTAAGCATAAGCCATCAATATGGAAAAGTAAGTTTATTCCATAAAAAGTAAGTTATTAGACGTAGAAATTATGACTTATGCCCACAAAGCTAACCTAATAGCATTTCCTGGCCTCTGCTCAACAGTTAGATAATTTCTCGCCTGTTTTAGGTCTAATTTTCCAATCCCGAGATTTAGATATAACTAAAATTATAGACAGCCAGAGATCGAAAAGGACAAGCTACGGAAGGAACGGAAGAAAATGGACACTGCTCTCAAGAATTACAAGAAAGAATTTAAAATAATAATGGAAAGGACGAATATTTTATACAATTATGAAGACGAGTCAAAAGATTCTCAAATAAAATAACAAGAATAAATACCTCCAGAGGTTACTAGAGAGGATACTCGAGAGCGACAGGAGATTTATAGACCATATCTTTCGACCCAAGATCGAGCGCATCATGGAAATGATAATGAAATAACCTCTTCAGGCCTCTTCCAACCAAAAAGTTGACAGATCTGGATATGACTGAAGGAAATGCTGAGACTGAGGAAGTGCTTGATAAATCCTGGTCAACGCTAGAGATACTCTACGAGATCCTGATCAATATTATCCAACACCCAGTTATGTCAGAAAGCGTGCTAAAGTATTTTCTCACTGAGGAGTTCATACAAAGCATACTTGACCTATTTGAGAGCCAGAATGCGCAAGAAAGAGATTATCTCAAGCAGATTACTCATAAGCTTTACTCAAAGGTGGTGAAGAGGAGGAGGCTATTCAGAAGGATGTTCAACAACCACTTTATTGCCTTGATCTATGAGAAACCTACATCTAATGGGCCTAATGAGATATTGGATATTTATGCAGCAATAATAAGTGGGTTTGCCATACCGTTAAGACCGGAACATATTGAGTTCTTCAAAAATTTCCTCACTCCTTTACTCAAATTACAGAACTGAAGTAAATTTTATGAAGAAATTTTGAGATGTATTCTCATATTTCTTCAAAAAGATCCGAACCTTTCTGAAATCCTACTGACTACTGTCCTGGATATTTGGCCCTATGCAAATACGAACAAAGAGCTTGCTTTCTTAGTGACGCTTTATGAGTCATTAGACGTTATTTCAAGTTTGGAAAATATTCAGATTTACATTGAACCATTGTCAAAAAGAATCTCAGCATGTCTTAATTCAGAACATGTACAGGTGATCGATAGATGTATGACCTTCTTTGAGAGAGATTCTATGATCAATATGCTCAGGGAGTATGCTACAGAAATGTACCCCATCATAGTTCCTCCTATTGAACGGCAGATCAAAGAGCATTGGCATGAGACTTTAAAATCTAACTTTGACGATCTGAAAAAAATTCTTATGGAGCTTGATATCGACACCTATGAGGAAGTCAAGGATGACTATCAGGAGAAGCAGGAGTTCAAAAGATCTAAAAGAGCAGAGCTGGATTCTAAGTGGAAAATTCTGGAGGATAGGATCAAAGATTCTCAGCCTAATTATATCCCTCCTGCGCTTCCATTTCAATCAGATACTTGAGTGTCAGACTACAATGAACTGTACTTCTCTGTTTGTCAAAAGGATAAGAACTTGCAAGAATAGTTTTCTTTCCATAGAAGCTGTCTATAATGGTTCCATTATATTTACCAGAGCTCTTTGCCACCATTCAAAATTTACTTATCTCACTAGCCTGATTGGGGTTTTGGGGTTTTGGGGTTTTGGGGTTTTGGGG